ATCATAGTATAATGCAACCACACTACTAGAAAACCATGTTTGTGATATTTGTATGACCCAAAATTTTGCATACACACTCTCTTCATCTCAATAATCAATCCAAAAAAAAAAAAGTTCAATTTGAACCCTAGATATGGTCAAAATGAGTCCCCTCCAACAACAAATCTAGACCATTCATTTGGTGAATTTCAAGATCTTAGCCTTTACAAACTCAAAATCATTTTTTTATTTTATTTTTTAACATTGTTCATCTAATGATAATAAAGTCATCTAAAAAAATTGGAAAAGAAAAAGTCTTTCAAAGGCCTAGATCTAAGCATCTTAACAAAATGGACGGCCGATGTGAATTGGGCTAAAAAACTACTTTCTAGGTTGCATTTTCAATTTTTTCTTTTTTGTGATTGTTCGTTAGAATGAAAAGTGCGTATATTTTAAAATTTGGATCAAACAAATGACCCTAACATAGTTTTTGAAGATTGTTGCATTATATTACTATACAACTGTTGCATGAAATCACTGCCCATACATATGTTCTTCTTTTTTCTTAATTTTGTTTTCTAATAGGTAACTATTGTAACACATTTTATTGTTGACGGGTAATGGACTAATTTTTGTTAAAAAGGAACAAATTTATACAGCAGGAAGGTTGTTTGCCATCAGAGGTGTCATCCCAGTGTCATGCTTTTATGATGGAAAAAGTTTTAAAAAGGTGTCAAGGGTACTCTATGTTTATAAGAAGAAAGATTCACTATTCTATGTTATGTCTGCATGAAATTTGAGGAAGTCAATAGGTACTATGTAGGACATTGTGAGGAATTTCCTCATGTAAGACGTAAGACAGAGAGTACTTCATCAGCAGATTCGTGAATACTTACCCCTAAAAATCGTTAGTCTTATTGGTTTCTATTTGAAGTGAATTGTGTTAATGTGAATTGTTCGATTGATCAAATCAGGTATTATGCTTCTTTTGAGTTCTTTATTATTGTACCCATGCAGGTTGAAGAGCCTTTCAGTAACCTCTATGTTATAGTTGACGATGGGTAATTTTTTTTGTTCTCCCAAACATGTGAAATTTGATGCGTCTTTCTTTGTTCTCCTGAGTGGAAATTTTGTTTTTGCAAACCTGAACTCACTGCCTCTCTCTTTACCTTATCTATTTATCGACTTACTTTTGCTGACAGACAGGCTGGAAAAGGCAGGTCACATATGAAGGAAGATGCTCATGTCCAATGTTGTGCTGAGAACGGAGGCAGGAATCTGAAATTTTCTGGAGGGACTTCTATGGATTTGCCTGTAAGTGGAAGGAATTGTAAATAGTATAATTCTTGGCGATAGGAGTGAAGTTAAATTGCAAATGTAGAACACCTCTTTTAACCAATTCTGTTTGGATGAATCAATTTTGATACCTTTCTTTTCCTCCTAACCATGCAGATTGTACATGAAACTCCCATGTCAATTTTGCCAAGTGAGACCTTGATCCATTTCATCCAGAGTATTTCATTGTTTTGTCTCTTATTGTTGTCTCACAACTGAGATGTTTATATTTCATGTGACGAATTGATTTATATTACTATGTGCAGATATAAGTGAAAGTGCTCACCATGCTATAGAATCTGAACCCTTCCTTGCAACAGATAGTTCACGCTCAGATGTTCAAACCGCAGATTCTAATGTCACTTTGTGTTCTACATCATCAGCATGTTCAAATGAACCAGTGCCCATAAGAAAATCAATCGGTCATTCTCATGCTAAAGTATGTCAACTGTCATATATGTTTATTCTTCTTGTCACATTTTCAAGGGACTAGGCTTTTATGATTTTGAATATGAGAAATTTCTCTTTTCTTGGGTAGGACTTCAAGCTCAATCCAAGTGCAAAAACCTTTTTGCCATCTCTTCCAAGTAGTAGATCGGCATCACCAGTGTTTGTATCTGGTGGTTATATGCACGACGGTTCTTCTGTGGTACCTGTTGCTGCTACATATCCTGGAGCTGAAGCTAGCACTTTTGCCCCTCATGGCATGTTGCCAATTAAATTTGTCCAATACAACAACATGGTGACTGGAAACGTTGGGAGTGGGTCTCAATATGCACAGCCTGTATGTACTTTTATGCCATTGAAGTTATAAATTTTATCATTGAACTTGAAGAGTTTGGATGCTAATATATATATGAGAATAACTTCTTTTTTTTTTTCAATTGACACAACTACCCCTTGCACTCAGTCCCTTGATATACAATTTTACATTATTAGTTCTTTTGCCAATTAATCAATTAATTGTTTTAGATCTATACTTTTAAACCAAGTAAAAGTCACTTTAATATGAACTTAGAGTTTGGAAAGCCGTACTTCTACTTGCACAACTTTTTCAATCGTTTTCCTTTATTTTTCGATATTTAAGAAATTTATTGTGTTAGGCCCTACTCTTTTGAATTTTGCCTTCACTCTGTGCTAAAAACTTTTACAGGTGTTTAATTCCATAGTAAAACTCACCAACTTGCAAATTGAGTCATTTTTTTTTCTTTTCCCAGATGAGCATTGGAGGACTTTAACTTTAAATCGTTGGCAATTTGGGAATAGAAAATACACTTATGTAGATGGCCCCCTATGATGAATATATCCTTCTGCTAACTGCCGTGCAAAATTAACCACTTGTGGAGGAGAATGCGCATTCAATCCTATTGATTGCAAAAGAGACTACACAAAAAGGTTGCTAAGTGCTCAATAGAAGGACCATCGACCTGTCCAAAGAGATACTTGATAGAGGTGTTAGAGTTGCTAGGGCTCTCAATGGCTCATTCACCTTTTCAGTTGGAACGCCTTCTGCAATCAGGAGGGTATCTTGCATTTCTCCACCTTCTCGACTAATTTGCTTTGTTAGGTAACTGATGGGTGTAATCCTTATAGGGGGCATCTACACACACGGAATTTCAGTTCTCAAAATGTTAGTATTGTTTAGAATATAAGGGGCAATGGGGTGCTTCTTTCTCAATGGTGTGTTCTCTTAAACTATTTGGTATTACAAAAACATTATACCGATCAAGAAAAAGAGAAATGGTATATCAAGCATCCATTACTCAGTCTATGCTTCTAGAATCCTGCTAAAGGTATTTTTCATGAAAAAGGAAAAGGAGTACGGCCAAAGGTTTTTACAAACCTGCTATTCGATTTGTAATTGTTGGTACTTGTTTTTGTCCGTGTGCTGGTTATGTAGTGTTTTTACCTTAACTATAATGTCTGATTTGTGCCCTAGATGATGTTATTTTTCATGCTCCAGTTCTCCAGAACATTGTAGATTAAATAATAACTTTACCTAAATCCTAGAAATGCTTTGTTTATAAATGCTTAAAGAACTTCTTTGGCATGGTCACAGGTTGTTGGAAACATGGGCGGTAGGCAGCAGCCCTTCAGATATGGTGGCCAATTTCCTCCCATTCAAGGGATGCCTGCATTTATGCCCCCAAATAATCAAGTTAGTCATTATAGAGAAATTATTATGTTGATTTTTTCAATCTCCATTCACATATATTTTGGTTTTTAATGACTAGAAAATTATGGTACTGCTCTATTAGCTATTATTAAACCTATAAATTTGAAGCTGCCTTTTGCTGCAGGTAATGGTTGGTCGCATGGGACAACTTGTTTATGTGCCTCCACTTTCCCACGTAAGCAAGAAAGTTTAGTTGTGAGAATTGAAGCACAAATTTTAAATGCCCATAATTGACATCCTGAAAACGAGTTATTCGAAGTGCTTTGGTACATGTGTCCATAAGTGTTATGGAATTTCTTATTCCACTGATGCAATAGAGCTGTCTGGTTGACATTTGACTTTCGGGGTGGTGACATATATTTGTCTTTTGTTTTTCTATTTTTGACTTTTGATGCATGGCCAAGTGACCCCTTTGTGACTTTGTGTATTATATGTATCTTCCTATAATGATATGTAGGATTTCATGCAATTTAATGTGTCTTACAGTCTCTCTGTAATATATGTTTTTTTTTTCATCTCAAGGGGTTTGGGGGTCTAAAATTGCCATAAAAACTCCCTAAGGCCTAAACCCCTTCCCTAAGAACTCCCTAGTCCTATTTGTTTTTCGTTTTTTGTTTTTTTGGGAGGGGGGTTGGGGGTTCCCTACCAGTTCTTGTCCCTGGGCGCCCCGCCTGCAACGTTTTGAACATTGATTCATCATGCATATCAATATAGGGATTTTGTTCTGGGGCAAATGTTCCTTGAAACATCATTATTGGACAATGATCATGGTTATGTATTTATAGAACTAAATCTTTGTTCTCATACTCGAAACCAAATATAACTATAAGGAGTCATTCATGATGAGATTTCATATGTGCAGAAATGATAGATTCAAGTTAACTGCAATGAACTATAAAAACCTATAGTTACTTAAATAAATTAGCATAAGGCCAAGGCATTACATTAAAAATAAAGGAGCATATGAAAACTCTTGCCAGAAATTGCAGTCTGGCTCAGGAAATCCATATGATTGCCTGACTTCTATTTTCACCCCTGTTATGAAACTTGAAGCTTAAAAGATGGTGCAGATATGGCCGACCTGTAAACACTTGAAATGGGTGGTCCAGAGATTGTCTTACAAGATACATTATATGTAGGCTTGAAATCCTTCTTTTGTTTTTCTCCAGATCCATAGTTTTTGAGGTCAAAATGACAGTTTGAAGGATTTTTGGCATCGGATTTGGATTTTCCAGCAGGGTTTTGATATGTGGATTTACTTTTTATGACATGGCCTCGGCTTTATATGGCCTTTTTCTTTTCTTTTTTGTCCTTTTTTTAAATATGTTAACTGTTGTATTGAGTAAAGAAGCGTACAAAAAAATCAACGGCCCACAAGTCCAGTGCTCAAACCCAAAAACTCCATAAAGGGCCGAAAAAATCTATACAACCCCAAAAAATAGGTAGAATATAATATACAGGGACTTGAGTACTCAAAAACTTCCCAAAAAAGTCCCTTGCGAGTTATGTAGGTTTGCTCCCTCCTTAGCGAGGGCGTTGGCTATGACGTTGACTTCCTCCAAGTGTGCCTCCATACAATATGTATATCCCTTGACATGGAAAATCTTCTCAAAAATGTGATCCATTTCCATGGGCAAGGTGAAGCTCTGGAGGTCCATGCAATGACATTCTTGGAGTTGCCCTCAACAATCAGGGAGGGACCCCATGTGTGGTCGAAGTACCTTAGGCTGAAGAGGAGGGCTGTAGCCTCCATTGTGTTGGAGTTGGCTTGGCCTCTGAAGCAAGAATAGGAGAACAGGGTGCAGCCATCCTTGTCTTGGAAGATACCTCGTTGCCCGAGGAGCCCGGGTTGCCTAGGGAGCAACTGTCAAAATTGAGCTTAGATTGGTCACAATCTAGAGGTCTCCACAAAGATGCTCGAGGGATGCAAGTGGATTGGAAAGAGAGCATTGCTTGCCAGGTCTCGTGGAAGTCTGCCAAAGACCAATGCTTGAAAGGTTTTTGTGCCAGAAACGTGACCAAGGAGCTAACCTTCTCTCTTTAGGGTCTCGACATGGGTTGTCTCGCCACGGACTGTTCTGTTGTTTCTATTCAACAAGTGCACCCAAATTGTGGCAGCAACAACAGTTCTCTACAGGAGTATACCTGACAGGGGCCATGAGGGGAAGAGGAAGGACAATAACAGTTGATGAATGGAATGTGGAGTTGCCTATGACCATCCGAAGAGCTGGAGAAGGCCACCCCAAACCTATCCGGTGAGGTTGCAATGGATGAAGATGTGTGTTGGATTCAACTTCATTGTGGCACATGATACAACAATTAGGAATCTGCATACCCAGATTTGTACTCGATCCACAGTCAAAACACAATCGGAGATGGCCATCCTGCTGAAAAATTGAACCTTTGGGGGAATGAAAGAAAACCAAGCTCTGGCAACTGTGGTTGGAGGTGGGGAAGGTCCCATGGAGGACCTCTTAGGGTTTGGTAAAAGGCGGATATCGAGAAGATGCCTGACAGAACTGGAGATCAGACAATCTTATATATATATATATACGAAAAAGGTTGTTTTAATGTTGAAAAACCTTGTGATTGATCATCTCAACATCGAGATGTATGACTATGAAAAATAAAAAGATTTTGGGTCTCAGAAATAGTGCATCGTACAACATAATATCTACACCGTCCATTTTCAAAATTTCCATATGTTTATAGATCTACTTGATTTTAACCATTTTTGAAATTTAAAATTTTATAGTTAGATATAAAAATAGATTTTGAGATAATCCTAAGACTATTTTACCTC